AAAAAAAAAAAAAAAAAAAAACTAAAAGGATTGATTGAAAATATTTCTATTTCTAGGAAATTGTTTTTTTTTTCCTGTTGATAAGTTAATCAGTGATTAAAATGAAATAAACCTTTATTTACCTGATATATTGAGACTTTTTAACTAACTAAATCCTGTCATACTGTACATGATTCTATATGAAATATCATTAACCCAATAATAATCAAATATCCTTCCGGACAACTCAGATCATTGCTAAGTATCCGGATCCATTATTCAACATTTAAGTATACCATCTGATTCAGTTCTTTATGTTTCTTTCCATTCTTTTCCACTAATGAATAATTCGATGAATGTCCTTTTTGTACATTTTAAAAAAATTCAAATTTTTTTTTTTCAAATTAACAATTCTTTCATGGCTTAATGTCTCTTAGCATACATTCTTATCATTATCAAAATTTCTTTCTTTCTTTTTTTTCACCCATATTTTCATCTTCTATCAATTAATCTCTGTGCATTAATTAAAATAAATCGGTCTAGTATGTTTTATTTTCCTTCCTGATTACTCATTCCGTCCGGTATTCCATCCTAATTCCGGTCCATTTAATTTTTTAAGCAGTTCCCAATAAATTACCTAATAAATTTCTCAAGTAATGACAAATATTTAGAAAGTGCTACATTACTTGCCTAACGATTTGATCGCTTAATCTGGATCCGTCTATTTATCTAAATCGGAAAATTCAATCCACGGTAGTGTTAGTGAGATAAAGCTATCGTATACCTACCTCATTTTGTTTATAGTTTGGAAGATCATTATAAAAGAGAGAAGGGATTTGATTTTAATCTGACAAAAACAAAAAACAAAATGAAATATAAAATGTGATTTCGATAACATCGCACTTTATTGTTTACAGCAAATAAATGAATTCATTGAAAAATATTAAAATTTCAGAGAAAAAAAACTGAAAATTTTTCAAAAAAAAAGGAATGATTCCAATAATTTATCCAAAGATAATTAAAGGATAAATTTTCAAAAGTATTAATTTTGCATTTTAAATAATTTAATCTGTTATAGGAAAATTGATATAATTTAATGAAGAATTAAAAAAAACAAAATACTTAAAAGATGATGATAACTTTCTATAATTATCAATCATTTCAGGTTTAATTATCAATCATTTCAGGTTTAATTATCAGTCATTTCAGGTTTTTTAGCGATGTTTTTGGTTGTTGCTATCTCAGTACTTGGTAGTGCTTTATTACTTGGTATTATGCATCCAGCTAAATTAATTGTTGCATTTGGTATTATTGCATGTCCAATCCTGGCAATTACTGTTACTGTTGGATTATTTTCATTAGCACAACTTCGAACCAATACAATTATGCTTATTATGCCATTTTTAGTAATGGGAATTGGTAAATGAAGCAATATTTTTTTGTGAATTTTTTTTTTTTTTTCTTCAAATAATAAATGCAATTATGGTTAATCTTTCTTTATTCATTTTGTTTAAAAATTCAAAAGAAAAAAAAAAAAAAGAAGTTGAAAGACAAATAAATTATGATTACCGTAGAATTTTATTTGACTTATATCATAGAATTGTTGAGTTGTAAGAAATTTTGAAGGCGTAGGATCACGTTTCTACGTTTTTTGATGTATAATGAGTTGAATGCGGTCACGTTTCTACGCTCCCTGAAGTATAATGAGTTGGATGCAGTCACGTTTCTACGCTTCCTGAAGTGTGATGAGTTGAATGCAGTCACGTTTCTAGCTCCCTGAAGTATGATGAGTTGGATGCAGTCACGTTTCTACGCTCCCTGAAGTATGATGAGTTGAATGCA